CCTTATATAAATTATTTTACCTGATAGAGTGTGCTAGAATGTTCCGGTACAGAACACTATCTTTGATAATCCACATGATTTAAGATATTCCTGAAAATAATACACGGAAGACTATACAAAAAGGTGAAAGCAATTATAGATACCTAGTTCAGATTCAAAATAGGACTGGGTGCGACAGAATTTTTCGCTTTTAATGTTCTTACCGAAAATCTTTTACCGATATATCTGAATTTCTATGTCCGCTTCATTGATTTTCAGAAGGCATTCGATAGAGTTTGATATCAGAAACTTGTAGAACTTGTTTCCCTTGTTATTTAACCTTTACAGCACAGCTATCTTTAAGGAAGCGTTATCTGAGGAAGATGGTATAGCAATACAGGGAAAAATCTTAAACAATATAAGATTCGTAGCGGACACCGTTAATTTAGTTGACAGTCTAGAACAACACAAATACAACATTTACTAGATAGAGTAAATCAATTATCCAACACCGTCTGGAAATGAACGTAAAGAAAACAAGTAGAAAGGTTTAACAGCTACAAATATCTAGGAACCTGGATACATGAGAAAAATGACCAAAGTAGAGAAATGAGGACACTATCTGAACTCTTTGTCTACGGTTTTTATGAATCTTTTCTTAGGGTAGGGTTCAGTAGCTCAGTAGCAGATGAAACTTGATGAAATAATTTTAGACCACATCCTATAAACCCCGAACACAATGTATCATTACAAAACAGCGGCCACGAAGACCTATTTTCTTTGATAATATATATGTCAGGTTACAATTGTTTAGCAGTGGTTCTAGCAAAATTACTTTAAATTCATTTCATACATTGTTAATGTCTATCCCAGAAAAACAGTAACACATTTATTCTTTTGTATGTTTGTAGTTATTTATCCAGCCTTTAACAAGTGAATTAGAATTAATTTTACAGTTCCTTGGGATTCGGTTTGTTAATTTTGAGTTGATTAGATTTGGCGTAATTTTGATATATTTCTAAATCCATGAACTTTTAAACACATTGTTTGTTACACTTTTTGTCATATGTATTTGTTTTTAAACAATATATTACTAACTTTCACAAGTGTCACTTGTCATTGTATACTTTTACATACTTTTTATTAAAGAAAAATAAAAAAATGTACAATACAAATCGATGACCCTAAACTTTAGAGAGCAATAAAACATTTCTGTTAGTTATCAGATAATTAAAGAACACTTTCTAATGTGTGGTACTGTAGTTTTCTTTAGCTGTGTGTCCAATGCTAGGCTTTAATAAATAGATGTTTTTTTATTATTTTTTTTCCAGGTGAGTACTTATTTTAGTTTTGTGCCCTCTAAATTTTCAACGATACAATTGAACAAAAACGGAAAATTAAAGTGTGATGTACATTTCCTAAAAACATATAATATATAAATTTGCTGCAACGTATAGAAATTAGTCTGTTGTCTTTAAAAATCAACATTTTATACAAAGCAATCTAAACAGATCTAAATCTGGAGGTTAACTGATCATTTATCCTTTTTATTGTTATTATTTAAATGTTTTGGGCCTAATAATTGCGCTAGATTTTGTGATCTTAAAGTTTAATATATCTATTTATTAGCTAGAATTAATAATCTAAACTTTTATATATTACATATTTTAATGCATTTTCTGTTCATTATCTTCATTTATTACACATTATCTGTCATTGTTCACGCTAAACAATTATCATATTAACCCCTTCCTTCCTAGCGTTACTCAATAGACCAATGCTTTCGTTTGTCTCTCGTTAAAAAACCAGGATAATGGTTTTGTTAGGTTGGGATACATTCCCTTCTTAAAGGGATATACGAAAGGTAAAAGATATTCCTTGTGGACGCCTTTGTGATTTTGAAACGGTAGTGTTTGTACAATTATTTCAGCATGGGAGGAGTATACGATTAGAAATATGTCTTCCAATTTGTCGTAATCTTATACGCATTTCTGGCTTTTATCAGAGAGAACTTTCAAGGAAGATAAGATGAGAAATTCTTCCGTTCGTTGGTTAAGGTATAATCTTTGAGCTAATGTCTAGTTGGTGCATTCTAAATGAGGTAATTGAACACAATGACTTCCTCTGAGCCTTACTTTTTCAAGGTCATTAGGTGACATTAGATGACACTGAAAGTTGTAAAAACAAATATAAAAGTAATATGGAACGAAAGCATTTTATTACAAGATACTTTATCATTGGACACAATGATCGTGGATATTAGTGTGATAGGATATCTGTGTTTCTTTGAATGAAATTTGGGGACTTGTTATATGATCTTCTTTGTGTGTCGTGCTTATTTTCAAGTATTGGCTATATGGTGGTGTGTTCTGAAACTGCCGACCTTTCGCACTGAGCAAGGCGGCACTTTCTTTTGTGTTCAGTCAAACGGAAACGAACTTTACGTTTTGTTGTTCCAATGTACACCGAATCAGATCTATATGGATCGTCTACATTGGTTTGATGATGGACTTGACGTTATATTTTGCTATTTTTGATAATCGGTATTAATCAATATTGCGGATACAAGCGAATATCTCTCTATCTCTCTCTCCCTCTCGCTCTCTCTGCGCATATCGAAGGTATGCGCATCATTCTTCTCCAACACCACATCTCAAAGTCATCCATTTTTTGGCGTTTTGTGCCCGAAACGTTCCAGTTTATGCCCAGTATACAATTATTGAGAACTACGATTTTTTGTTTTCAAAGTCTCGCTTCCCAATCCGGAAATCATTTTCAAAAAATTATAAAAAAAAATTGTGAATAATCGATATCATAGCATAGCATTTACAGGTTATATCAATTATTCACAATTTTATTTCATCAATTTTTTGAAAACTATTTCCAGATTCGAAAAACAAACGTAAAAAACAAAAAAAAATATTTTTGTGTGATTCATTGTCGTTTATTCCTGAAAAAAAAATTGTACCATTACAGAACGCCGATCCCTAAATGGCAACCTTCTTGATAAGTCTTTAAAATAATTTCTAGTTTTGTTTACTTATAATGGTGTTTTGTTTTATTATTTTTTGTAGATTTTGTCATTACTCTCACTGAATCTGCAGGTATTTTTTTATGAAACCTAATTTTTATAAATGATAAATGGTAGCAGAATAGATTTCAGCTTAATAGAATAGAGTTTGCTTGGTAAAAAATTTTTGTAACGCCATCCGTTTTCAAAATAAAAGGCATTGATGAAAAAAAATTATACATGTTTTGCGATTTTGTCGAAACCAGTGGCAATATTTTAATTAAATTTTATACGAATATGTTTTGGAAGCTGATTCATCCTATGAATGTGTTTTTATATCTGACTCTCATCGAGGGCGCTGGTTACAAGGTTCATATCAAGTATTATGTAACATAACTTTTTTATGGGTAGAATTATTAATCATAATTTCAAGTGAATTTAAACATACAATTTTACACCAAAAATTTGGTGTAAAATTGTATGATTTACATTTTTTTTACATTAATTTTAAAACTACCTTATACCAGCAATTGATATTATTATTCATTATTTTCAAATCAAAATATTCAGAAAACGGTACATAGTATAGAGTTTTACCAAGAATACCTTTTGGTGTGAAATCGTATGATGTTTAAGTTCAGTTGGAATTTTGTTTAATAATTTTACTCTTAAAAAAGATATGTTTAAATAATACTGGTATGAACCTTGTAACTGGCGCCCTCTATGAGAGTCAGATATAAAAACAAATTCATGCGATGTATCAGCTTCCACAACATATTCGTATAAAATTTCATTACAATGTTGCCAGGAGTTTCAGCAAAATCGCTTTATCTTGAAAACGGATGGCATTACAAACATTTTTTACTAAGCAAACCCCAATTATTTTTTAGTTTTTTATATTTATTTTTCACGTTTTTCAATAAAATCTAACAAGACAGTAATGTAGGGAATAGAACAACGGATGCCAGCTCTAGGTCAGCCTCAATCGATCGATTTCCAAGTGTAAACAAGTATGTCATTTTAAATTATTTACACTTATGCTTTTTTAATTGAATTATATATAAAATTAAACTTTTTCTTCTTCACTGTTAACCATGATGGTAACATCTACATGCGACACTTATTTTACAGGCAAACATGCCCTATAGTGTAAAAAAACTTTAATTTGATAAATAATTCACTTAAAAACATGTAAGTGCAATAAATCAACAAAAGATACCTATTTATACCCGACAACTAGACTAGACCCGACAACTAGACTAGACCCGACACATAGATTGTGGCTGACTGAGAGCTGGAAAGCATCTTTCTATTCTCTACATTATTTTTCTTTTCAGTAACGTTAAATTCACTTAAAAAACATGTATCTGGGATTTATTAACAAAAACTAATTATGTACAATATATTTAATTAGAGGTTATTGTGGTTAAATTTTAGGAGACAACTATTATGCTATCATTTAACATTCATAAAAATTAAGTTTCATAAAAAAAGATACCTGCATATTTAAGCGACCGGACTTAGACCATTATTGGTTTCAAAAACAAAGCCTTTTATTTTAAAATCAATATACATTACAAACCACGAACCATGAATCAAGCAAACTGGTCTTGCTTATATGCCCAGACATTGACATATCCAGAAATATCGATAAATATCTATCGAGCTGTTCTCGTACCAAGCAATTTTGGATTTTCTTATACATCTAAAAAGTAATACCTCCTTTGGGTATGCTACAATAATGTATTTTAAATGGGTGGTCTTTGTAAAAAAACTATTGAAAAAATATTATTGTGTTAAAAGTTTGATTTCATAAGACTCAAACGTTTTAAAATTTGACAACATTAGACAGTCTAATTTCTATTTAAGCAAGTTATTGACATCACTTGAATTTCTGTTTTATGGTTCTCTGTTGGAATAGGAAAAAGAAGGAATAAAAAAATGACAGTATTCCAAACTCAATGTATTTATATAGTTTAATTCGAAGTTTAAATATGATTTTTGTCTTTAGGTATGATCGGAATGCCGCCTGGTATGATGTATGGTGCCCATATGTTCCCCGCGGGACCAGTGCTTATGCAGCCACGTTTTAGATGATCTCCGATGTACCTCGTCTATCATCCACAAGTTTAAGATTAAGTCTACACACCTTTTAAGATAAGATTTAAATGTTTTTTTATTTTTCTTTTTTTATCGAAAAAGAAATGTTAGAAACCTCCTCTTCCCGCAATTTCCTGATGAAGAAAACAGATAAGAGTAAGAAATGTTGGTTCCGTCCGTGCTGATTCCATGTTTGTTTCAATACCTTCGGAAAGGGGAAAGAATATAAACAACAAATTTTATTTATTATATAGAAGCATTTTATTAATCATAATTATTTTTCGAAAAGAAAGAAATTGTATCAAATCAATATAAAAAGAAAGATAATATATATTATTTAATTTAATTCACTGATAGTGGAAATTTATTTGACCTCATCTAATTACAGAGGTGTAAAGACAGTTCTGTTGTATAGTATAATCCATTTTAGTATATTTAATTTTTTTATAATTTTTGGGATGTTAATAAAAATGAACGAAATCAACCTTAATAGTCTAACAACCTTTATTCTTTTCCGTTTTCTTTACCAAGACACATTTTAATACAATTTTTTTACTAATTTTGCATGGATAGGGAGAGTTTGGTTAATTTCCGTGGCTTTTCGTATTTATGATTATTTTATTTTGACAGGTGTTGAAAAAGTACAATCAGATACAAAATACCTGCCGAAACGGTATGTAACATTTTATTTTTATTTTTGATTTCATTGGAATTGTTCTTATCGAAAGGTTTGTCTAGTTTATATATGACATTTAACATTTCCCTTCAAACAAGTTAAATTGGTGGATGTTTTGGGAAAACAATTTGAATATGTAAAACATTGATCATTTGAAGTTTTTAAAAATAGGGCATGAAAATTAAGATTTAATTGGGAATTTCTTTTTTCACCATGAAATATACAGAGTGATAGATCGTCGAACGCACCATGAACGCAGAGAGAAATTCTAACATCTTAAACTTCTGTTCGAAAGTACAGAATTACTAATAGAAAAGAAAACACCAACTTGGAAGATCTGCATCAAGCTTGGATCTGTGTCCAAATTACAGGAATATGCAAAAGATCTATGCATGAGTTAAAATAAACTCCTGGACAAAATCAACGCACCACTTTAATTAATCTAAATAACTAGCATAACATAATATATCTAGCATAACTCAAATTGTAAAAAGAAAAAAATAAAATGCATCTGGGTCAACACTAATACCGTGTAGGCCTTCCTCTACTTCTTATGACTGCATTTATGCGTCAAGGCATGCTTGATATCAAATGTTCAACAAAAGCTTGTGGAATATTCTCCCATTCTTCAATAACGGCCCCAATGAGTTGGTTGTGATTGTGCACTAGGGGGTCTACGACTTCGAATCTTCTTTTTGGAGATAGTCCCATAGATGCTATATTGGATTCATGTCCGGACTGTTAGGTGGTCACTACTAATGGAACATCAATATTATTTAGGTAGCCAATAACCTGTCGAACCACATGAGGACGAGCGTTATCTTGCATGAATAAAAAATTAGGTCCAAGAAACGGAGTTCGACAATAATGTTGTCTACGTAATAATGGACATTCATAGACCTCGTACGTATGGGGAGCAACTGCGTACGAGCTTTAAAACAAATTTCCCCCACAAAACATTTAAAAGCCACCACCAAAAGGTATTGTAGGAGAGATATTGCAGCTGGCAAATCTTTCTCCTCGCCTTCGCCAGACACGCTCACGACCATTTGGAGCTTTTAGTCTTACTCTAGTCTCATCGGAGAAAAGAACTCGTTTCCAATCATCGATGGTCTAATTTTGATGCAATCTTGCAAAATTCAATCTCTGAACCCTGTGTTCTCTGGTAAGCAATGGTTTTTTGGCCGGTTTCCTGTTACTCAATTCTGCTTCATGTAAACGTCTTCTAACTGTTCGAGACGATATCGCGACATTTCGAACATCTGCTAGTTTATTTTTTAGCAAATTGCTGGTGACTGTCCTATCTCTGAGTACGTTGTCTCAAAAAACGATCATCAATTTGATTAGTGCAACGTTTTCGCCCTTGCCCTGGTCTTCGATGGTACGACCCTGTTTCATTATATCGCCTAACCTTGCGACTGATGCTGGGATGATGTCTTCGTAACAAACTTACAACGTATCGCATTGAATATCCTTCATCTAGGAGAGTCGATGCTCGCACTGCCTCCTCCATTGACAAATTTCTTTGGCGGTTTATTTTTGTATTTAATTTTTATGTAAATGAACTTCCAAACTTACATGTGATGAAAATATCACAATAAAAAGCTTGTTTCTCAAAAGCACTTTGCTTTAATCGGCACTTTTTATGAAAAGTTTAACTCACTTTTAGTCTTAAACGAAGTTTAATACAAATTATTGTTAAAACAAGACTATTATTAGCTTACATAACAACTGTCACTGTCAAACAAGGTCCATAGGCAACTTGTCGTACAGTAAATTATCAATAAATAAAGATTATTGACAAAAATATAAGTGGTGCGTTAATTTTGTCCAGGAGTTTAAATGACCAGAGACAGAGATCTTTGGAGACTGACAATACACTCCCTCGGGGGATCAGAACTGATGAGGGAGAATCAAATATTCAACTTTATAACGCCCGTTAACGATTGTATCGGCATTTTTAGAATATTCCATAGCAAACATGATACTGGTTAGAAAATTTATTATTTTTTCTCACTTTTTGAATAATTGAAATAAACCATGGTGGGTGGTCCACATTATGCGGATGGATGAAAGTGATCTTTCATGCTATATAGACCGACTGGAAGAAGAAGGGGGCGAGCTAAACTCAGATATCTGGACGATATGCAGGACGATTTAAGTGAGATTGTAGTTAGGGGATGGAAAAGACAGACACTCGACAGGAAAGGATGGAATACTGTTTTGAGGCAGGGCTGTAGCACAACTGATGATCATGAATTTTTTGAAATTACGTAATTTATAGAATACTGTCAACACTTGTTGCAAAGAGATTTCAGTCTTCTAAAACCTGTTGATATAAAATAATTAAGATACCAGGAGTTAAATAGTTTATTATTTCTCCTTTCGTTTCCTTTGGTGCGTTCGACTAATGCAAATATTACAGCGAAAAACCTACCGAGAAACGACAAAGAAACTTGTCCAAAACTTTTTATTTGGTATCTTAATTGTATAAACCAAAAAATGTTACTTTTCATGTTCCTTTTTATGTTGATAATTTGTATAAGATAAATAGATTGTCTATGTGAAAGTAAAAAATTGATTGTCATATTTTAAAATCGTTTTCCCATATTGGCAGGTTCGTACAAACTTTATTAATATTATTAAATTGATGATTTCTATTCTTCAAAGGTAAGCAACCTAGCGAAATCTATCTCTGTAAATTAATTGGTTTTGGAAGGTCATCCGCAAAATTGTTTTAAATTATAATCTATATGGTTAAATAAAAACTATCTTTAAGGCTTTTTGTAAATAATTGTAGTTATATGTATAGGGCGATTGACCTTTTAAAAAAAGACGGTGAATTGTATTCAATTTCAATATACGTGTGTTCATAATATGATCAGCATCCTTTATTTTCAATTTGTTTATAGAAGAATGGTAAAACGTTTATCACCAATAAAATATTTTTATTTCATTCCATTTAGTCATATTCTCGAATTATAAACTATCGATGTTTACAATTATTAATAGGATTGATATCTTGAATCATTTTCATACGATGTGATTTTTTCGCACTCATCTTCAGCGTCTTTATGAAGTCCTAGCGTTATTTGGAATGTATTTTGGAAAGTTGCCATCAAGTTTGTGTTGTTATGAAAAAAACATACTTTGTTAAAATTAAACTTTGAATTTTTTTACCGAAAATCTCTTTTTCACTTCATTCATTTATTATAATGATGAGCAAATTATTCTATATCATTCTAAAAGTTATTTGGATTCTTCCCTTTAAAAGATTTTATTCAAGCTTTGTGCATCTATGTATGCATTTTTATTTTCTAGTGTCTTAACACTTTCCGGTAGATATCAACGAAGGAACATTACCAAGCAGGAGGGACCCATAACCCTTTGTATTTTGCATAGATTCTAACGGTGTCTGTAGAAAGCTCCGCCTTTAGGTGTGTATTGAACTGATAATCCATAAGTGTTCAAATGTACAGTCCGTCCGCATGCTACCAATGCAGAATTTTAACGATAATTTTATTGCGAATACTTTTTCTATGAGACACCAATTATAATATTGCGCATGCACGTCATTCCCCATTGGAACCTTTAGAATCTGTGTGCTGTATTTATCCATCTGCCGAATCTGTTGACTCGCGAATTCCTATTCAAAGACTAGGATCCACTTTGTATATTATACTTTTAAGTTTGGCACTTTCCTCTGGCTGACGTATGACTCAAATTAAAAATGTAGTGAACTATTCACTTGGAAGTTACTTTGCCAGCTCTTTTACTCTTTTATTAAAAATTAAGTGTCCGCTCTGTATCCTATTCTTCATTTTCACTGAATCCATTTTATTACACTATTACGCATCGTACCATATCGTTTAGAATTTTTAAAGCGTCGTCATAATTGCATCTTCGTCGTAATTGCATATGCAATTATGACACAACGTACCAAAGTGTGTCAGAATTCTTATAAAAGCTTGCTTCATGACTATCTATCTTTAAAATATTCCGTCATTTAAATCGGTTTAGCAGTTGAAAATGTGTCGATCATCTGGTAGTACATACTAGTTGAGCTTAAGTTGCATGCGTCACGCTCCGTTTTTCTGTCGTAATTTCTTCCGATAGGGATCAACGAATGAGTGCCACCCACTCGGGAGACCCTCTCCCTCACTGCAATACTCATCTATTGACCGACTCGATTCACTCGCTAATTTTTATCTAAAGTAGTAGATTCCATTTCGATTTTAAACTACTAATCAACATTCCACGATCCCACTAGACTATACACATCAGAGTACGCTACTACACTGGACTATCGAGCCCACAATAA